ACATTATTAAAATAGTGGAGAAAAAATTTCTGAACTCATTTAACAACTTCCAGATAGTTTTATTTTCGAATTATCGTCAAGCAGTACAAGTTTGATCAATGTATATTCGTATCTATATATTGTGCAAAGGACTACATTAACGGAAGTTTGGAAGCTGAGTGAAACTGCTGTAAATTAATAAGTTCCATAACTGGTTCCTAGTCTAATAAACATGATACGGCTACCCAGACCGGAACGTGTAAAACGGCTTATGTTCGCATTGATGGTTGGTGCGAAACCCTGCTAATAAATATCTCGTTGCTACCGGCTCCTAGCGCTCACTCATACCAGAAGTATGGTTTATGATGTTATCGTATCCAAATACCTGCAATACAACTTTGTCTTGGATATTTTCTTTTACTTGAAATATTTTTACATATTTCTTTAAAATATTTTAAATATTTATTACAATTAATTTCATACGTATAAATTGCCATGTGTGCAATTTTATTACCGACTTTAAACTTGTTTTTATAGTGTAATGCTGTTTTAAATATTTAATTAATATTTAAATTGATGTTTTATTTTTTATTAGACTCGAATCTAATGTAAATTTATGAAAAAATACTCTATTATCAAAGATAAATCCTTTTAATTTATCTAAGTGTTAGAATAACTTTTTTTCTACTCTAAATTTCTTAATAATAATGAATGTAACATAAATTACATTTAATGTAAATTTCTTAATATTATTTTATGCGTATTTCAAATTCTATAATGTTGCTTTTAATGATGTTATTTCCTTGCAACAAATATTACGTTTAAAGATTGCTTTAAATAATAGAGAAATATTACTACTATTGCTGAAACTGTATTACTAGAATTCCCGCATTATTTGGTGCAATCTAATCATAGTTCTAAGCTTTAAAGTTAAAATTATTTGACAGCTTAAATATCTAGTTCTATAAACTTAATTAGTCTAAACTGATCCTGATTTCTAAAAGCCTCACTTTCAATAGTTTACCTTTAAAAGGTGGACGTGTTTATTTGATCATTAGATCCAACTCTAGAATTTTAAATATTTACTTTTCATGTTTACGGTATGAATTTAAACAATTTACTGATTGAAAGATTCTTACGTTTTTACACACTAAAGCTGCATTGTCTTCATCAACACTTAGCATTGGGTTCAATCTACAGTTAGATCATTTAATAAACGTTTACTTCCTACTTTTGATTACGATTAAGTTTACATAAATGTTTATAAAATTATTACAGTAAATTCTCTTTAATTTATGAGGATAATGTTCTAATACTTTACTTTTATTCATTTTTGACTTTAACGTTCGATTTCTTCAGTTTTTATTTATCTAACAAATCTATAAAAATCTAATTTATTTTCAGTATAAGATATAAGTTACCTTTGCTAGATTTATATACATTATTTTTGAAAGAAAATTTAATCCCTAAATACAAAAAATTATATTAATTTATTCCGATTATTGAAACCACTGAGTTTTCTTATTCTTAATTTGTTCTAATTATTTATTTAAATATTTGTTAAGTTCTTACATTTTTCTGTTGTTTCATTCTTAGTTATTTTTGGTTATTGATCTACAGTGTTCTTCACTTTCCTTTAATGAATGAGACATTACAGGTTGAGCCTTTATAGGAGGACATCTGGAGAATCTGATGTCAGCATTGACCTGTCAAAGTCTGCATTTCTCTGTGGATTAATTGTCATTCCGAGCTTAACGCACAACCCATTAGGCCAGTAACAAAGTGATGTTTAGGCTTTTCGAAAGACAGTTTGTTTCCAGAATCGACCATTGCAAGAAATGGATATCGAGAATCGAACACTTCACAAGATCACTTTGGAACTATAACAGTAACATTTTTCGAAGCCGATTAAACCATCGTAAAAGAGGTTTATAAAAACATTGTTTCGTCGTAAAAGTAAAATCGGTATATAAACTAGGCCTAAGTAGCCTACATAGGGAATTCTTTTACTGCTGACTCTGTTTAAAATTCCAAACTTTTTCCGTGTTAGAAATCGCTGCAGTTTTTCACCTTCGAACAAAACAAGTTTTTATCTTCAATGTTAGAAAATTTTATCAGATATATTTCATCAGCAATTTCCAATAGAAATTATTAAAAGTTTACTAGATTTTAAGCTATTTCTTAAATTCAAAATTGATATCTCTGTTCTTATCTAAATTCTTAAATAAGGTCACGTTAATTGATTAATTAAATTAAAATCGTTTTTCTCATGTATATTGAATAACTTATTATTAAAAGTAAGCAACTTAAATAATATCCTTTCGAAATCGAAACTAATCTTACCTGATATGTGAAGAAATAATTAGAAATATTTCTTTTTTAATTTTTTCAAATTGTGAATAAGATTTTGTGAAAAATAGTATGTGATCAATTTTATAACTAAGACAGGCTTTTTCTTCTTTCACCTTCGAATGAAGGGTGCAATAATAAGGTAGTAAAATCTGGATTTCTTTTTGCCATTAGTTGCTTTCTTCCATTAGTTTCTTTCATGTTCATTTGACCTCACTGACCAATCGCAGCTTTCCAACTGTCCCTTATTTATAGGTCAGTCCGTCTCAATTTTGTTTTGTAAGTTTTTCTTTTCCATAGAATAGTATTCTACTAAATACTTATAATTCTAATCTTTTGTCATACATTCAATTCTTACTTTTTACATTAAATTATTTGAAGATTTGACTTAAATTTTTCAGGTTTGTAATATTAGCAATGTTTAAAATTTATTATACTCAAAAATATTCTTGTAAAATGTCTTTAAAGATAATTTGCAAGAATATTATATTAGTATTCTTGTAACTTATGGTATATTTATGTAATTCTATATATTGACTGTTAATTTGTTAATGTTGATGATGTATTTAAGTTAACACAATAGATGTAAGCTAAAATATGTATTTTTATCTATTAATACGAGAAATCTCGTAGAAATTCAGGGCGATACGAGCCATTTTCTTTTATTTTTTTATGGTTTTATATTTTTAAAAAATGAAGAAATATGAAAACAGAAATACAAAAATATTAAATTTGAGACTTTCATGAATGTAAAGTCCGAGATGAATGGATTTTCTATACTCTTGATTAATACGTTATTGTAATAATTTAATGTTTACTATTATAAAAATTAATTTCATTGATCCAAGAAGAAATTTCACTCAGTTTATTAATTGCAAAGAAAGCTCTAGGCTCTTATGTAAACTTTTGTTTGTTTCTCTTAGATGAAAATGCTGTTTCCTTTTATCTGAAAAATAAAGAATTTTTTTTTAATAAAAAGTAAATTAGTTATTGATAAATAATTTTTGATTAAAGTAATAAAATACACTAATCTAAAAATGGATTATTCGAAATAAACACTTTGAAATTGAGATGTACTTGAAAATAATGATTTGAATTGCACTCAGATTTTATAAACGTTAGTGTAACTAAATAGTTAACATTCTAAGTTATATTCAAAACTGGAAAAAGAAATAAATTTATATTAGTAATGTTAAATGCAACTTCTTTTTATGAGATTATTAACATGCTTTTATAATTCAATATAAATTAATAATGATATACAGGCCTAATAGATTAAAACATCACTCGTTTACTCTGTTTCTACAAAACTATAAAAATATAATTTATTACAGATCACATTTCCAGCGCAAAGTTTTATTGAAACATTTTTATTGTACCAAATATCGTTAAAATTATTTTACTTATAGAAACAAAAAACAATTCAGTAAAAACGGAAAATTAAAATAATTTAAACCGTTAAATTTTACTGTTGAAAGTAAATTTTTTTAAAGGCCGGAGTTCATATACTTGTTACATTGTTTTTATTAATACAGACTTCAATAAGCTTATAGTTAAGCAATTTTTGTGTGATTTATATTGAACTGATATCGTATAAATGTAGAAAAATTTAAATAAATTCCCAATTTTATAAAATATCGAGAGAAATAAAATCACTACTTTAAATGAAATTTTTCATAAACTTTGTTAAAACAGTGTAAAATTTTTAAAAAATGTATAAATATTTATCCTGCGATATTATTATTTACCATATTTAAATTGAAATATATATATGTATTTTCTAATTCTAAACTTGAACATTTAAAACTACAAAGTCTCTGTAACAATAATCATTTTTAAACTTATTTTTAAAATATAAAAGTTTAAGAGAAAGACTAAAATATGAAACTGTAAATATTTTTTTATTGAATAAAAGAATAACAAATTTAATTTTACTTCTTATATTTTTATTTTTAAACATGTAAGTTTTTGGTCTAATGGAAGTTGCTTTTTCTGAAGATGCTAAAGTGGTCGCCATATTTTTAGAGCCGCCAGGACGAAGGTCGATATTTTCTTGTTTCCTATTGCACTAGGCAAGATACCCGTTCAGCCCTAGTTTTATATTAAACCGAACACCAAATTTATAAATCAGAAAACTCACATAAAATTTTCCAAACAACTTACTTTATATATAATTTATTAAGGAAGCTAATTCTGTGTTATAATTTATTTATATCATATATTTTTAATTGCTCATCGCTCATTTATAATATAATTAATATGCTTTTCTAGTTATAAGTATTTAAGAAGTAATAAAAACTAAATTTACTTATAATAATAATAATAATAATAATAAATATAAGCTTATAACATTTAGCTTACATTATAAACATTTTTTTAAAATACAAAATATTTATTATCGTATAATTGTGCATGTATACTTATTAAAGATTATAAGATATAATAATCCTTGAAATAGATTTTATTTTTGATTTTATAATGATTTTTGTATAGTTTTTTTTTTTAATGTAAATAATAAAGCTATATTATAAGCTTATATATGTTTATATATATTATCAGTCGCTATGATTAAACGAAATCATTTCGAAACTGAAAAAGAAAAATAAATTATTTGTTTAATTAAATCAAAAATTTTTGGCATTATTTGAAATGTGTCCACTAATTTCTTTTAGGCTTAAGAAGTCATGGCGACTTTGGCCTTTCCGTCCATCTCCCGTTTGCAGGTGTGTGGTCCTTTTTTTCTTATTTGTCTCTTTTAAGTTTTATCATCTAGCATCACATGTTGTTATTTCAGGGTCTTTTTTTATTATATATAAATTAAGACGATAAGTAAGGCCTATATTATTTTATTTACCTTATTTTTTTGGCACGGGATACATAATCAAAATTTTGGGACATTTTCGGCTTTTCCTTGTTAATTTACTAATATTAATGCTAAAGCTAATGATCAGTAACAATATAAAACAATTAAAAAATTTTTATATAATATGTAATATAGGCCTAGGTTTTAAGAAATAAATTTTATCATCTTAATGAAAATAATTCTCGATAATATCGGCTTTTAAGAAAATTATACATAATAGTATTTGTTTACTCAATATTTAATTATTTTAAGATAATTGTAGCTGTTTAAGATTTAGATATGTTCTTACTAAAATAGTTTGCTTGTAATTAGATCCTAAACATTTATAATTATTAAAATCAAAATTAATTATTTGTTACATTACCTTAATTTTGGATAACTAAACCTCAGTTAGTTTAAATTTACAACAGTCTTATGCGTATACAATTTATAAATTTAAACTAGGAATATAAGTTATAATAATTTTAATAATATTATATATAATATAATTAGTTTTTAGTGTGCACATATATTAGAAATTTGAAGCATTCCCATCGTTTTAAACTTAGTTTCTAATGTAAAATACACATATAATTTATTTTTTTAAAGTAACTTTGTTAAAGTATTTAATATAGAAATTTATTTTATTTTTATTTAAAAATATGTGTACATAATATAGAAATTTAAATTTATAATATAAATTGATCTAATTCTTTAAAAAATAAGTAAATATTAAGATAAAGCTATTAGACAAAATTATATATTTTTTAGCAGTTCATATTAAAATGAATTATTTTATGAAGTGTGAATACAGCTTATTAAATAGAAGAGTTATAATATTTTATAATCTTTATATTAAAGTTTAGGCCTATTAGTTTCACTTTAAATCTTCGAATTTTATGTTAACTCGAACGTAAAGTAGTTTAATTATGCGAAAGATCAACTATATTAGCATCTTGTATTCATCAAACTTATCCTGATCACAATATCCTTTCGTTGAATTCAATAACCTAATTTGTAGGCACATTAGTTTACTGATTTCGTTTTTAACTGATTTATCAACGCATTTCATTGGCTAATAATTAAAAAACAAAGTAGAAAGTTTAATATGTGTATATTATTTTGTTATATTACTACAAAATTAAACCAATTTGAAACTTTAGTCAATTTTATTAAGAGGAGTCTATAAAAATAAATTGAACTAACGTGCTTTTGAATAAAATTATTAAAGCCTCAAGAAGACTTATAGGTGTATGAAAGAACAAATTCAAAAAATAGAAAGAATCTCTAGAGAATTATTTCGGTGATGTTACTCATATTAGCATTCGGATATATCGCTAAAATTCTATCTAGTTTCCTGATCACGATAGACATCTGCATCAGGACAATGTGCTAGATGCTACACAAAGTGCTGAATACAAACGGCCATTTTAACTGACAGAGAACATTCGGCACGTTTTACTTACAGTTGTCCGTGATTAAGCATAAGAATGATATCCCTTTGTATTGAGTTTGCTATGGAGTTCAAAAAAAATTTATCTTCTTTTTGATAAGTAAAGAAGTAACATTGTAAATTTTTCAATTCCAAAATACACAATGTAAGTTATACTTATCCTTTCTCAATTGAAAAAGGCATGGAATTGTTCAAATATTTCTGTTAACAAATAATACAAATAAGCTTGTATCGCCCTTAAAATAAAAAAATTTTAATAAACTTTCGTTTAAATTTTAAGNATTCCTAATGCATTCTGATTCACTGAATTACGTTCTACCGTGTACAGAAAAAAGAGAAATTGAGAAGCAAAATGACTTTCTCTTAGAAAAGTAACGATATGCCAGTTCCTGGGCCTCCAATGGCAGGGGACTTCCACTCTCTGTGGGACTGGCTGAGCCTCCTTACGGGCGTGTTGCTCTGACGTCATTGTAAGGAGCAAAAACAGAAATGGCGCAGGATGTAATAGGTTTGAATCTGAAACTTGGTGCTTCTCTTCTTATTGTAATTAATGTAATTAAATATTTTAAAAATCAAAATAGCCGTGTTCACGTGAAATACTCATTCAAAATAAAGTAAAATTCGTTATCTTAAAAAATACTGATATTTAAATATTATAATATTGTTTTATTGACATTGATCTAAGTATTATATGAAATTCATCCTATTCAGCCTATGGGCTAAGATAAATCAAGATTCAGTTAATGATCTAACATCAATATATGAGTAAACATTTAGAATATTCAAATATACTGTATAGTGAATAAAAAATTTATTGATATGAAATTATATAAGCTAGGCTTGTGAACCGAAATCCTAAATAAGATATAAATCTCACTGAATTTTATTTTTAAAATATTTTTTAAGAAAATAAAACTGATGAGAATTAGTCATAAAATTTGAGAAAGATGACTTTATATGAAAAGTTGAATGGTATGGCTTTAAGCTATTAAGCTTCAAATTTTAAGCTTCTAATCTTAATTTAATAAAAATTATTAACTATCGGATATCAAGAGCTTTTAATCGAATTAAATCTATGAGAAATTCAACTTATTAAGTCAGTAATAGACTTTTCAATTGGTTTAAAGAAAATAGTAGCTGAATTTTATTAAATTATAAATGATTTATCACAGTTCAATTTTAAAATGTTGGCCTAAATAATTTGTTGGGATAATGTGAATTTTTAAAGAAATCTTTTCGTTAATATATATATCAATTTTTACAGTTTACAAATATTCTTAAACAAATTATCTTTACGTACCAACACTTGTAGCAGTGAAAACATAATTCACAACATTGAAAACTTAAATTAAGAATATTTAAATAATTTATATATATAAGTAATTTAAATATACGCCCCGACGTTAAGAAATTTTCATACATTAAAATATTCTTATTATATTATTATATCTTGATTTCAAATTATTTCTCTTGAACTTAATATTAGGTTTTATGCCTAGATGAATTAAGTCTTTAGTTGTATTGTAGGGTAAATGGAATGGAAAATCTTGAATTATAACAGTGTAAATTTATTATTTATATGGTTAAAAATCTAGGATTAATGTGATAAAAATATAGATCGAAACATAAAAGTTTAGTGTTGATTGATTCAGATAAATATTACTAATTAGTTTGATAAACTAGGTTTATCCTTTATAAAGTAAGATCAAGAGAAAAGTTTTAATTCTCATAAAGCTTAGAGGATATTAACTAATGATAAATGATTCATTTATCAAAATTCATATACTCAAAGCTAAGAAATTACTTTATAGATCATGCGACAGTAAGACGAAGAATGTAAGTTTCGTATACGTTTAGAAAATAAATATAAAAAAGATCTTAAAGTGTACAATAGTACTTAAATGTCGAGTAGAATGTATGGAAAGTGGAACTAAGCTATCGGGTTAGCCTATGTCTAGGTTGTAAAATGTTTATGGTCCTACGTCATGGATCGTAAAGATGACGTCACGAGGTTTAGTGGTCTCTACGTCGGCAGTTAAAATTGGAACAGATGGACAGTGCATGGCAATGAGACAGCTGAGTGTGACGTAATAACACTTCCTTGTTTATATTGTTAGATGCTTGTCGGAATCTCGTTTGAGCAACCAGTTTAAGAAAATTTATCTACAAGTTAAAATACATAATATTAAATCTAAATGTCATATAACTTGATAACTGATGAATCATAAATTTTCTATAATATTTTTCTACAAAATTTTCGAATTTTTAAATGCTTTTTTTATAGTTACATAGGCCTAAGACATATATTGCTCTATAAGTTACCGTTAATAATCTATAACTCTTTATTTTAACAGTATTTATTATGTTAATTATACTTACATTTGTATTTAAAGTACAATTAGAAAGTTTCTACATTGATAAGTTTAATTGCAATTAAACTTATCAATGCAAGTTTAATAAAAAAAATAATAATAATAAATAAATTCTCAAATAGATAATTTTTTTATAATCTAATTTTATAATTTCTAACGTAAGTTATTATAATATTATAGTTTTAAATTTATCAATGAGAAGTTTTATCATAAATCAAATTCTAGAAAATCAAAATTTATAAATTGATTTAATTTTATTTTTAAATTTGGTGAGGCCATTTTAAATTGATGAGATAACCAGTAATTAAGGTTAGTCTAACGCTTCAGACGTGATATTAACCAAAAATTTTCGTAGCATGTAATTAAATTTATTCTTATACTTTCACGAAAACATGTTTACTTATTCATAATTAATACATGATACTTATTAAATAAATATATCGTATTAATTATGCAGAAAAACTGAAAATTAGTCTACTTAGTTCATTATAAAGATTCATCTATTCCTTTTTTTAAATTAAAAAAAAATGTTTCTTTAGAGCTATCTCTGCAGTTTTTTTTTGTGACTTTAATATTTTTATCTGCTATTTTAATTGCTACTATTATAGTGTTTTTTATTATTATTAATGTTTAATAATTTTAGGGAAGATTGACACGATAAAAGAGTGTAAATTTTTAATTATTGAATGTCATTTAATCTAAAAATAGCATGCACTTTTCGCTTCTGGATAAACGTAATTTCTTTAATAAGGTCTAAACTTAATATTTTTGCATTAAGTGTTATAAATAATCATTAAAATATAATTTATATCATAATACGCAAATGTTTTTATTTAATAAGAATATTTAAATATTATGAAGTAACAAACTTATAATTGTTTTTGTTAAATAACTAAAACTTGTTAATTATATTTTAATAAGTTGTAAGCTTAAGATTATTTACAATTTGATATTTTTTATGGTTTAAAAATTCTATTCGCTGATTGTATGCATGAGATATTTTTATCTTAACACGACGTTAATCAGTATCATTTAAAAGATACAACGTAGTTGGAA